TACGAGACAGGGCAATGGTATGTGGCCAGAAAAACAGCCCTGAATCACCACAAGAGGATGACAAGACCACGACAACAAAGAGCGCAGTACACCTACGAAGAGACAAAGAAAAAGGACCGCCAGAAAACCCCCATACCGCTGCTGAGACGAAGCATGCAGGTGGGACACATTAAAAAAGCCACCTGATCACGAATAGATGGAGAGAGACTCGAGTCAAAAGTACCAGACTAGAAGACTTGAGGAGAAGACCGAATCAGCCCCGTCACGGTCTGGACCGACCAAGTAAGAGAGACGGAGCCACGGGAAAACCCCTGGGTGCGGACACAGAGCAAGCCGCGCCGGAAGCAAGGCAGTCAAAGAACCAAAAGGAATGCCCGCTAGGGAACCAGGAACCCAAACCCGGTGAGCCGGGAAAGAACCAACCTGGCAAAGCAGACACGCCCCATCTGGGAGGCACCCCCCCCCCAGGACCCCTGAAGGAACAATAAGCCCGATAACAGACAAGAAGCCGCTGCTTGCAGAAACTGCCAACTGTAAACTCCGCAAACAGCAAGGGCAAAAAGGGCAGCAAAAAACCTAAGAGCCAACGCCCAGGCAGAGGCCGACAAGGAACTGAGCACCACGAGCCGAAACCCAAGATGGAAGAAACCCCAGCAGGGAAGAACTAAGCATGCTACTGCACTAAAATGAAAACGTGCTGTCCAGAAAGGAATACAAAGAAAAGCTGCAGCCAGGGCCAGAAGCCAAGCACCCCCTGCCCCAACGAAAATGAACTGTAGGGGCAGAAGTGGGTGAACGGAAGCTACATACACGAGCAAACATCACAACTCAGAAGCTGGTAGTGGCAGACAAGGAGAAGAGGAAGAACTCAAGAGCTATACCGGAACACTGGGCCTGTGCTACAACAGGAAACTGAACAAGAACAGATCCCAACCGAGCACGAGCATGAGAACAGCCAAGACGCACCTACCAAGATACTCAACAAGGTGTAGGAGAGGTAGGAAGATGTAAAAATGCAACGAAAAGACCCGAAAGACAGGCAAAGCACCGAAAGCCAGGGACAAGAGCAAAAGCAAATGGCAACAGAAGGTACATGAACCATATACACAGACTAGGAGCGAGTGAAAAAAAGACACTCGCCCAAACTCAAGTGCTCAGAAGATAAACAAACCCCACATGAACACCAAAACCCAGACCCCCAAGAACTGGAAACACGGCTTCCAACCCATAGGAGAAAGGGGAGGGGCAATGGTATATACATGATGTACACATATAAAGCATAGGTATGTGTATATATAACGTACATAAGATCGAATCCCATGTCAAACTCCGACCAGAACATCAACCGGTGAAACCCACGCCCCGCCCCCCCACAAGGGTCGCCCAAGGCAAAATCGAGGAACGCCCCAAGAATATCATGGAAAAACATCTTGATAACTCATGAAACCAAAAGGCCAAAATTTGGAATTGTCAGGGTAGGTTAAGGCTAGGGCAGTGTCATACCACTGTGCCATGGGGACATCAATGCAATAGGGAAATGTTGAACATGAAAAGCAGCATTCCCAATATCAACTCGGGCGACCACCGCGGAAACGCAACACATGGGCTGACCCAACTGCTACGTGGGTCAGACTTTAACATGGTTCGGAACATAAAAGGGTGCAGCCAGACACTGAACGACGGACAATGAATAAATGTCCCGTGTCCTGGCTGACAAAGTCACTAGACCGTATAATCTCACCTGTAGAGCAGAAGCACTATCGGGTCACGACACAGCGTAGACGTGTAGAAGTCTGGGAGCATTGCTAGTAGTGCAAGTCCAGAGATGCTCGAGCAGATCAGGTGCAGTGAAGAGGAGGAGAGGCGGAGGAGGTGCCACACCTACCCACCCCCACCCATAAGCAGAGAAACAACTAGAAGTGTCCCCCACATATAACCCAGAACGACCCCAATAACCAGGGGGCAATGACTGGAGAGATAAGATGAGCAAGAGCAGTGTATAACCCGGGAGAAAGTGCGCTGAAGACCAACACTTGTCTACACCGACCAAAACAAAACAATCACCCACAGCGCATGCGCAGGACACATGAGGTCCGAGCTGCACCACTCGAACCCCGGAGAGGGTGCCAACAAGGAAAATGGAACCATAATTAGGAATGTCGAGACAAAGGAAGGAAAGAGGCAACTATTAAAACCGGAAACAGCATCGAAAGAGGAGAAAAAGGACAAGAGTACCAACTAATCCTAGAAATACTGGAGGTAAGCCCCACTGGAAGGCGACAGATGTTCCAATAATGAAGAAGCATCAAAGACCCACTCGAACCTTCGAGAACCAAGACCAACAAGCACAAATTCCCGGAGGCACAGATGCACCCAAGAGCATCCGTGATTAATGGACAAGCAGGACCTGACACAGCAGAAAATGATTACGGTATGATGCAGAACACAGATCTCAGAGAAGAAAGGTGGAAAAGTGAAGAAAACGCCCCACAGAAGGACAGAGCCGACAGACCGGAAGGTACATGGAACAGAACCCGGAGAGGGGCTGCCGCCCAAAGGCAACTCGTACGCAGAGGGGGGAATGGAAAAACCCATTCCTTGTAACAGTAAGCCCAACTCGGAAGGTCGGAAAACCCAGGCAGGGTTCAACGGGGCCCAAAGCCCCCAAGTCAGCACCTCCCCAGCCCCGGGAACCACCACGTCAGGCCCCGGGGGCGAGACGTCCTCCAAAGCCCCAGCTTCACAAGAAAAACCCGGGGCGGCCGAAATAGCAGGAAGTGAGCGGGCCCACTGGTCAGACCCCGAAGCTACGGCTGGAGGAACATACTCAAACGTCTCCAACACAACGCTGGAAGGGGCAACCCCCCAAAACTGCCCGCGTCTCAAACCTTGAAACGCTGCCCCGACCCCGAAGCCCTCAGACGCCTAGGAACCAGTAGCAGGAGGGACCGAATGAACCACAGCAGGGGAAGAACGAGGGGGGCGCGGACTGAACCAAGGCCGACGCGACCAACACCCCCAAGTCCGGGTCCTGAGAAGCAAAATGGGGCATCCGGGGAAGCAATCAAACTAGCGCGTTGCAACAACCTACCCGGCAACGTGCTGTTCTGGTTCCTTCGGGGATGTCCCTTCTGCCTATCTTGCGATCGCTGGGTTTAGAACCCCAAGGGCCTTGTGTCAGCTGCTGCATTGCTGGCTTCCTCTTCAGGTTATCCAAGGTTCTGTGCCATGGCGCCTCCCCAAGCCCTCGCTCGATGTGTTCACGGATGCCTTGTCTCTCGGCTGGGGCTTTGTGACCAGTGCTCACCAGGCCAGCCTGGGTCGGTGGGGTCCGTCCTTCCGTTGGGCTCACAGCACAGTGCAAGAGTTTGTGGTGGTGTGGCATTTGCTTCAGAGGGTTTATGTCAGTTGCAGAGCAACGATCCAGCTCCATTCAGACTGCTTCCCTGTGATTCAGTGTCTGAACCGCAGGGGGTTCGATGCAGACCTTGGCTCTCTGGGTCTGGTCGCTTCGGGTGACTCGTCTGCTGAGTTCTCGGGGTTTGGCTCTTCTGCCAGTTCACATTCAGGAAGAGTCAAAAGTTCTGGCGGGTGGCCTGTCTCGGTTCATTCCCTTTCCATGGAATGGATGGTTGAAACAGACTCTTTTCAGTTGGATCTGCCAGATATATGGGCACCTGGAGGTGAACCTCTCTGCATCAGCGTGGTCAAGTTGTCTTCCAGTGCATGTGGCGTCCTTCCCCGACTGCGAGGCCGGAGTTCTCTTTTAACGTTATCGAGGACTCTTGTTGGTGAATGGAAGATGGTGAGAAGGGGGGGAGGAGAAGAGGTGCTACTGTATGGAAGGGGAGTCCCCTTCCATTATAACATCAGGCAGTGATGACTTCTCTGGGGTGCACACTCTCCTATGTTTTGCCTGCATACCACTATAACCTGGTTGTTGTTCACTGCATGTTTCTCACTAAAAATTTGTCCAAGGAGATTTGTTTTCCTTTCGTTTTCAACTTTTGTCTGTAGTGATGCATCACAGTGTCATTGAAAAGGTTAAGGCAATGGTCTACTGCAGCTTGATTTGAGTGAGTCATTTCAGCAAAAGTTTGCAGTTCTTCCCATGCTGCACACATTTTCTTAGTTTTTGAGGAAGGGACATTCTGTACTGCCTCTATGATCATCCTCACATGTGTTTTCATATGTTGAACCTTACCACTGACCTTCTTGGGACCCATGGCGTGATACACAGTATAATAATTACTTCTATGTTCAAAAAACAAAAAGTCACCAAAATAATGAAATTTCTTACATGCGCGATCGTCACTAAGGGGGTGGCTCTGGTAATTTGAGGCACGTTGACCCCTGCCACCAGGAACCATGCGTTCGGTCAACCCAAATGCATATCAACACGATCATAAGTAGAGTCGCATTTTCCGACCAAATTTACATACTAACTCGAAAAAATCGTAAGTCGGGGCAATCTTAAGTCCAGTTGTCACTGTACTGTGTTTCTGGTTGTTACGGATGTTCATATTTCCTTTTAGTTGTCTGTTTTGGTGAGCCCTGCCATGTTGGTGCCTTTTCCTCTTAGTTTTAGTAATCTAACATCCCCTGCTCCTTGTGGTTCTGAGTGGATCAGGTTTTGGTCTCCGGTGGGTAATGTTCTGATTTCTAAGGGTCTAGTGTGACATAATGTGTGTTGAGTCACCAGGAAGCCACAGATCGCCCCCTCCCCCCACCAGAAAAAGGCATTTTACATTTATTGATGGATTTTCTCAGACCAGGGCATAGCTACCAGATGCATGATTTTATTGATACAAAATTAAAGAATATGAATGCCAGCTAAATTACTAAAGTTACAACTGTATACATACATTGCTGCCAATGAGACTAAGTCTGCTCACATGCATCTCTCTGCAATGCCTACCATGAAACTCACACTATCAGGTAGGACAACACAATGGACTAGTGGAGTACTGTGTACTCATGGCTTAAAACTATATACATACCTAAATTTGTTCTGGTCCCTAGAAGCGAAATCTTCTGGAAAATGTTTTTTTATTTCAGCATAGGTCATCTCCTCACAAATGCCCTGAAATTTAGTTATTTTGTATGAAAATATTTAAAATCAATGCTATCTAATAATTATCAGTGCTCAGGTTGTTCCAGTTGATTATATGCAACTTATTATTTTTGTGACTATGCCATGCAGTACTGTATGTAAATGTAAATTCTAATTCAAAATACTAACTGCATCAATTTCATTGAGGGCTTTCCACCTTTCTTGGGGCGCTTCAATGCCTTCAGCTGTTTGAATTGTCCTCTTCATCCAGGATGTCCACACTCTCAGCTTCAAACATGGAAAATCATTTTTACTATTAGAAGACTATATTAAAAAGCATCCTACAATTATGTACAAGTACTGTGATACAGGTATTTCTAAATATCAGTCATTAGATAATAATTTATTCTTGTTGCAAGATTCTTTATTATGATAATTTGCAATACCTTTTCTGTGGGGAGTTCTGTTGGCTCTCTGAACCTATCTATACTGATTAACCCTTAAACTGCACAACACATCAATAGTTGTAGTAAGTAACTGTCGCGAAATTGTGCACCTCAGCTATTGATGTGGTAGAGTACCGCACAAGATTTAAAAGTCCCATGGCTACACTGGGTTCACATCACCGTCCTATGGGCTCTAGTAAACACATGCCATTTAAACAAAAAACTGTGGATAACATTCCCGGCTGTGAGTGCCTCAGTACTGAATGAGCAACCAAGGCTGGCACACGCAGCATCAGCTAATAACACTGCTGTTCAGCTTGTGACCACAGCATCACCTAAAAAATGTAAAAAAACCAGCGTTGAATGTAATAAAATGCCATTTTCTGGGCGAGTCCCGAAGGCTCCCCGGAGCTTACTAGGATGAAATGCTAATGTCAGACTTTGGCATCAGTCATGGGTATGGAATTCTAATGGGCCTACCAGGAACCACGAGCCAGAACCTGACCCCCTTTAGAGAGGCAAGGGGAGCAATGGCCTATAGAAATCCCCGTGTAATTGGAAGCATTCTATGTCTGCCATCGACCGGGTTAGGCACCCAGAAAAGTAGGCGTCCCAAAAGAAACTCCTATTCTGGTGAAAATTGCAACAAAATGCAGAACAAGTGGATAGAACTCCCCAACCAAAACCAACAAACTAGTATGAAGTCACCCGTCGTCGCACCGCTGTCTGCGCAGCCCCCCCCCCCACTTCCAGGGAGGGCAAAGGGGCAGCCCCAGACCTACCACGCCGGCGATCCACACCCCAGTTCTGAGGCTGGATGTCAAAACACGCGAAAAAAATGCCGACCGGAGGGAGGGAGTGATGCTGGAGAGACTCTGGGACTCACCCAGAAAATGGCGTTTCACTACTCTCAACACTGGTTTTCTGGGGGGAGCCCCTATGGCTCCTGGAGCTAACTACCCACAAGGAAAAGAATAGGGACTTACCTGGGAGTCGGTTGCTGCTCACTCCTCATCCCGAAGTTGAGACAACTGGCTGCATCCACCGACCCAAAGCAACACAGGCCCGACCGGGCCCAGGAACGTTTACAAGGTAATGAGAAGCCAGGACCCTATTCGACCGCCAAAATCCCCGCGCCCGAATGTCAGCCCAGGACATATTGCCAAAGACGGTGGCAAGAGCCGCGAACTTGCGGACGTCATGGGCACGGGGACAGACCGCAGGCTGGCTAGCCTTAATAACCCTGCGGACGACCTGGGAGACTCGCGCCCTCGAACAGGGAAGAAGGGAAACCGGATCAACCCAAAGCGCATCCACGGACACAGAAGCTGTGACGCGCAAATAATGGCGGAGAGCCGCAACCGGACACAAAACATGATGCACCCCCGGCCGAACCAACCAAGCATCAACAACGCAGGGACCCCTCCAGAACGCAGCAGTCTCATTCCTCGCCAGAAAAGAAGGAGAAGGCTGCAGACGAACAAACCGATCACCCCGACCAAAGGAGCAGAAACCTCTGCGCCGGAAGAGAGCATGAAGCTCACCCACCCGAACCCCAGAGGCCAATGACAACAGGAAAAGAGCCTAAGAAAAACAATCTGGAACCAAAGGGGCCACAACAAATTGAGAAGAAAGAAAAGAGAGCACTCTGTCCAATGACCAGGACGGCTCAGGCGGCGCATGAGCAGGCCGGAGGTGAAACAACGCCCAAGACAGCTTGCGAAACGGTGCAGACGTGACATCAATACCGAAAGCAAGCTGAAGCGGCTCCGCCAGCGCCGCACGATACAAGGCGACAGTGTTAGGCATAAGAAGACGGTTCTGGAGCAACCAAGAGAGAAAGGACAACACCACCCTAACAGAAAGCGAAGTACAACAATGAAGACGTAAGAAGAACCGGAATGACCGGCAGGAAACTTCATACTGCCGCCGAGAGGAAGCCCGCAGATGGGACACTAATAAGGAAGCCACCTGATCACCATAGAGATGATAATAAACTCGAGTCAAAAATACCATAGGAGAAGATCGAACCATCGAGGTGAAGATCGAACCATCCATGTGACGTACCGGTCCGATCTGCTGGAAGAGGCGGAGCCGCGGAAAAACCTCCGGGTTCGGACACCGAGCAAGCAGCGCTTGAAACCACTGCTGGGGCGGTCACCAAGGGGCCAAGAGAACAACTCTCTCCTAGCAAGTCTCTAAGCGAGTCAGGACCTGGAGCAACAGCTGAACCAGGGAAAAGAGGTACAGGAACCCCCCACCTCAACCAGTCCTGCCGAAAGGCGTCGACCCCGACAGCCTCATGAAAGGGCGCCACATACAGGGGAAGGCGCCGCAACCATGCTGACACGAAGAGGTCCACCTCAGGGAGTCCGAACATTTGGCAAAGTCAACGGAAGGAGTCAGCGTCGACCGTCCATTCCGTGGAGAGGGGAACAAAACGAGACAAGCCGTCGGCCAAGACGTTGGACACTCCCCACACGTGAACTGCCAGGAGAGCCAAACCCTGAGAACTCAGCAGACGATCACCCGAAGCAACCAGCGTCAAAGAGCCAAGGACCGCCTCGAATCCCACCCGGTTCAGACAACAAACCACTGGGGAGCAGTCCGAATGGAGCCGGATCGCTGACCCGTGGGTGACTCGAATCCTCCGAAGAGCAAACCACACCGCCGCGAAATCCCACACATTGCTGTGGGCTCGACGGAAGGATGGACCCCACCGTCCCTGGCCAGCCTGGTGAGCACTGGTCACGAAGCCCCAACCAAGAAACGACGCATCAGTGAACACATCGAGCGAGGGCTCGGGTAGGCACCAAGGCACTGAACCCTGAAAAACCCGAAGAGGAAGCCGGTGAAACAGCAACTGACGCAAAGCCCCCGGGGTCCGAACCCAGCGATCGCGAGAGAGGAGTAAGGGACGTCCCTGAAGGAATCAGAACAGCCGACGAAGTCAAACCCAACCCGGCAGTAGACCAGCATTGCGAAGTTCAAGCTCCCGCACAGACCCTCGAGCAACCGCTGCGTGACCCTGGAGCCCTCCAGAAACAGGCGAAGGCGAGGCTGCAACCGAAGCAGAGCCTCCAGAGGGAGAGACAAGGACAGCACAAGTGATTTGAAAAGTACAACCATCGTGATGGGATCCCTGGATTTGAAAGTTCTCGTAATCCATCCTATAATTTTTCTGGCTGATGCAATACTGTACTAGCTTTGTTATGCTCCCTAAACGTTAGGTTGTCAGACATTATTATTCCCAAATCCTTTACATGCTGTTTTCCTACTGTGGGCACATTTGATTGTGTTTTGTACCCTGTATTATGTTTAAGGTCCTCATTTTTCCCATATCTGAGAACCTGGAATTAATCACTGTTAAACATCATGTTATTTTCTGTTGCCCAGTCAAAAACTTTATTAACATCTGCTTGAGGTTTTTCAATGTCTCCAGCCGAGGTAATTTTCATGCTGATTTTTGTGTCATCTGCAAAGGATGATACGAAGCTGTGACTTGTATTTTTGTCTATATCTGATATGAGAATAAGGAAAAGTAGTGGTGCAAGGACTGTACCCTGCGGTTACAGAGCCTTTAACTGAGCTTGGACTCGATTTTATATGAATAACTGTTACTCGTCGAGTCCTGTTTGACAGAAAATTGATCCAGTGATCTACTTTATCGGTTATTCCCACTGACCTCAATTTGTGTGCTATCACTCCATCGTATCGAGTGCTACAAGTGCTATCACACTCGTAACTTGCTTAACATGTTGATACAAGAATGTTTCCAGGATGAGGTCTACTAATCTACAGGTCCAAAAATCATCTGTTCTAGCTTCATATGGTTCCCAGTCTATGGATTTCAAGTTTAAGTTGCCAACTATCAACAGTCTTGATCTATCTTTATCAGCTCTTGCCATAATCTCTCTCATTATTGTTACAAGACCCTCTCTTTTACTATTTAGCTCCTCCTTTATCCATGTGTTGCTTGGCGGTGGACTATATGCATTTATGATCATTAGTTTATCATCCTCATGGCAGATTTCAAGTGCTATTACGTCAATTTCTCGTAGATTGGCAATCATTATTTCGTTCACATTTAGGTGTTCTTTCACCAGCACAGCAATGCCACCGCCTTTCCTAATTTTCTGTCCCGTCTCCAAACTGAGTAGCCTCTTGGGAATATAACCTCATTTAAAATAACATCTTCAAGTTTTGTCTCCGTAAGTGCAACAATGTCTGGTGTCTGCAGCTGTATTACATCACTTAACTCCAGTATCTTCGATCTCACTCCATCTACATTGGTGTATACTATTTTCAGGAACATGTTCCCTCTCTCCTTATTCTTCACTACCCCTCTTTCTAGCAATTTTGTTGGTTTGCCTTTTTGTACCATTTTACTGGCCTGCCTACCCCTATCACTTTGTAGAAAGAAGAATTGATTTCTTCTTCGCTTCTGCTCTCATTTAGATGTTTTGCCTCTAGGAGCTTTAGTTTCAGCTTCTCTCTGTCTTCTCTTGAAAGATCTCGTCTTAACGACCACACTTTCCCATCCTCATCACTTTGTAATTTTCTAGCATTCCTTAGTACTTCTTCCATCTGTTTGGCACTGTTTAGGGTGATCCTCAAAGGTCGATCTTTTCCTTTTACGTACCTGCCTATTCTCCTGTAGTCGCACACATTCTCTATGGTAGTAAGACCTTCCACGAGGCCAAGAATTTTATCTACTACTTTCGCTTCTTCTACAGCTCTTTCTGACCTAGATGTTATCTCCTTTTCTTTGCAACCAAAAATTATCAGGGACTTACTCCGATCAACTGTGTTTCGCAACAACTTCGGGTTAGATGCCAATTC